TTCATTAGCTGTGCTTAAACCATTTCGTTGAGACATACGATCCTTCCATTGAAGATTCTTATCGCAAGCAAGTTGTGATCGACCAACAGGCATGCATGCTGGAAGTGCTGGATACTGCGGGACAGGAAGAATACACTGCCTTGAGGGACCAGTGGATTAGGGATGGCGAGGGTTTTGTCCTGGTCTATAGCATTACGTCACGATCTTCGTTCACCCGGATACAAAAATTTCACCATCAGATTCAACTTGTCAAAGAGTCCGCGAGCTCTGGATCACCAACAGGCGCCAGCTATCTCGGTTCTCCCATAACCGCCCCGTCTCCCGGGATGAAAGTTCCGGTAATGCTGGTGGGGAATAAAAGCGACAAGGCTATCGAACGAGCGGTTTCTTCACAAGAAGGCTCCGCGCTGGCTAAGGAGCTTGGATGCGATTTCGTCGAAGCTTCAGCTAAAAACTGCATTAATGTTGAGAAAGCATTTTATGATGTAGTTCGCCTGCTCAGGCAGCAACGGCAGCAACAAGGCGTTCGACAACCACTTAACAGAGCGCCTGGTTCTCAACGGGGGGAGAACGGGCCAGACCACCCTACGAGATTCCGAAACGATCGGCAAAGAGGACATGGCCGCGGAATAAAATGCCTAATCCTCTGAAGCAAGAAATGGGAAAGGGGAAAAAAAATCAAAAACAAAGGACTTAGAAATCCAGGAAAACATATCCACAAAAGCGATGCATGATTGAATTACCAAAAGGAGGGGAATGGTGGGAAAAGCCGATAGCTGGGATTTTCTACTGCCCGTTTCAACCATTGCTGCGTGGGTGGGTGGATTGCGTTGAATGCAGACGCACGTATACTACTTTATTCTTCCATGTTCTACGGCTATGTTTAACCCCTTGTTTATTTTCTACATGCTCTATTTAATATTTTGCTCACAATACCACAGTCCTCCCCATACAACCCTACAGCAGACTCTCTTTCGTTGCGCATAGGCAGCATGGATAACTCTACCATGCCGTGCATTATTACATATGGAGTCATGGAAGCACGAACTCTCCTCCCCTCCCTTCTCCACTGGGCTTTGCTTTGCCTCTTCTGAGTCGCCCATTCTTCGTGCTCTTTCCTTTAGCCCTCCTTTTTCTTCGTTCATTTTATCCCGCGCCTTGACTCCTGGACGGAATAGGCCAAATCTGTTCTCTCTCTCTTTCTTATTTTTTTTTTACCCCTTCTTCCCCCCACCTTCTCTCCCCCTTTTCTTTTCATGTCATTTTTTCCCCCTCTGCCTTCTACTTTGAATTTTACTGGTTTCTCATCGCTTCGGAGCAATGATTTTGCATGTCCGACCGAACACCGAACGAACGAACTTTATAACAAAAAATCTTCGCGGCTATTCGTCGACCAGGGATCCGTGGCTTTTTATGGGAACGTCTGCGTTTTGTGTGCGCGGACGTGTGCGTGGGCGTGTGCGTGTGTTTGTAATATGCTGGTTCTTATTATTTCTGCAGCTAGGGTGTTACCGGCCGGCATTTTAAGGAAATCTCACGTTGACGTTCATCTTCTAGGTCATCTTCTAGGTCTTCTTCCAGTTATCTCCCTTTATTTATTTTCGTTTTCCCTGGGGGCCCCCTGCCTTCTAATTCAGTGTGAATTTCTTCGGTGTTTCCGTTGATTTGTTTAATCCCCCTGTTCTCTCTCTTTCTTCGTCTCCCTTTCCTTGTGCGTTCGAGGAGCTGGGGAAGAGGGCAAATTTCATTTCACCAAACCGCAATGATAGAAGATATTCCTCGTTTTTTCCTTTGCTTTTTGATGTGTATCTGCTTTCTTTTCGTTTCTTTTTGCTTGACTGTTAGCCACTTAACCGCCAGCAACAAGTTACCCTCGTCCTCACGCCTCCCCAGATTTTCTTCCCCAACCCTGTCATACCTTTGAAATGAATTTATTTTATACCTTTATTTCGTTTGTTTGTTCTTCGAGGGGGAAAATGAATGTTACAATTACGGATACGAATTGTCGGGGACAGGGGAAGTGAAGGGAGGGCCAGTGAGCGTTGTATGAGTGTGCCGGGGGAGACAATAATATTATTTGTGCACAGAACAACATATACCCACCCATCCAGCGAATAACGAGAAACCCCCCGGTCTGTATTCGAGCACTGAGGATTTGCAACCAAACACTACAGCTAGCAACCAATCAAAAATCAAAAAAGAAGAATAAAACCTTCCATAAATAAATTTCAATCGTGAGTGGCAAGCCAACTAAAGTCATCCACCTGCTGAGACTCAATGGCGGCTATACACACACTACACCACATTGGTTGTAGTGCGGCCTCCGCTGGCCCGCTGGTAACCCCACACCGCGGGCTGCTGACTGCGGAACATGCCGAAGCACCGAGCATTGCCCTGGTATAGACATCTCGTAATGGGGCTTCCTGCGCTGGTGCTCAGTCGCAATACAGCCGATCGAAACTGAAACCAAGCGGGGGAATCTGTGAGCTGTCAATATACCCGCCCTGCCGCATCCCCCTTGGCTCTCGTCGCTCCCGCTGTCAAGACAACACCATAATTCTCTCACCATGCCCTCCCATCCCCAAGATAGAACCCTTTCTCTCTCTCTCCGCTCCCTTGAGGAATTCTGGTCGCACCACGCCGCCCAACTCCACTGGCACAAACCCCCATCTGCCAGCCTGCGCCGGAGCAGCAAGACGCTTCCTGCCAGCGGCGTCACCCACGAGCACTGGTCCTGGTTCCCGGACGGCGAGATCTCCACCACCTACAACTGCGTCGACAGACATGTGCTCAGCGGGCATGGAGACGACGTGGCCATAATCTACGAGTCGCCCGTGACGGGTGTGAGGGAACGGTATACGTATGCGCAGCTGCTGGACGAGGTCGAGGTGTTGGCAGGCGTGTTGAGGGAGGAGGGCATTAGGAAGGGGGATGTCGTGTTGATTTATAGTATGTTTTTTTCCGCATCTCTCTCTCTCTCTCTCTCCCTCTCTCTTTTTTCATTTGGTCTGTGTTCTTGTCCTTTTGCGCTGGAGATACGTTTATATTATTGTGATATGCCAGTGCTGCAGGCATCATTCCCGCCTGCTAATTTCTAAAAACAAAACAACTCTTTACGACAGTGCCAATGGTTCCTGCTGCTCTCTTCGCGGCGCTCGCCATAACTCGGCTCGGCGCCGTCCATGCAGCCGTCTTCGGCGGGTTTGCGGCAACGTCATTAGCTCAGCGCATCGAGGACTCGAAACCACGCGCAATCATGACCTCTTCCTGCGGCATTGAGGGAACTAAGGGCGTAGTGGATTACAAACCTTTGGTCGAGGGGGCCATAGGCAAGAGCGCTTGGAAGCCGCAGAAAATCATTGTCTGGCAGCGGGACCAGTTGCGTTGGAAACCCATGTTGAAACTGGAGGGTCAGCGGAACTGGCAGCGGATTGTGAGGAGTGGGAGGGCGAGGAATATCAGAGCTGCAGCTGTTCCCGTGAAAAGCAACGACATGTTGTATATCATTTATACCAGCGGTATGTTCTTCCCCTGCTCCATGTTTAACGGGGAGCTGGGTCGATTTTGATGGTTTATTATTCTACAGGAACAACCGGCCTGCCGAAAGGTGTTATCCGGGAAGCTGGCGGTCACGCCGTTGGCCTCAATCTCTCCATAAAATACCTCTTCGACATCAAAGGCCCCGGAGACGTCATGTTCTGCGCCTCAGATATCGGTTGGGTAGTAGGGCACTCCTACATTCTCTACGCACCACTCCTCACCGGGGCCACTACAGTACTCTACGAGGGCAAACCCGTTGGCACGCCTGACGCGGGCAGCTTCTGGCGCATAATTGAAGAGCACAGGGTAAACACTTTCTTCACCGCGCCCACTGCGCTCCGAGCAATCCGCAAAGAGGATCCAGAGGGCAGCTACTTCGAACAGGTTGGGAGCCGCGGCGGCTTGAAGCACCTGCGCGGCTTGTTCCTTGCTGGCGAAAGGAGCGAACCCAGTATCGTCCGCGCCTATCAGAGTTTGCTCGATAAGTACGCCGCCCCAGGCGCTATGGTTATTGATAACTGGTGGTCGTCGGAGTCCGGGTCGCCAATGACAGGGCTCGCGCTGCGCAGTGGCATTGGCTTGGAACATGGGAGCAGAGACGTGCATAAACCGTTTCCTGTCAAAGCCGGGTCGGCAGGTAAGCCGATGCCGGGCTTCGACGTGCGCATCGTCAATGATGAAGGGGATGAGGTGCCGCGTGGCACGATGGGGAATATCGTGTTGGCGATGCCGTTGGCACCCACAGCGTTCACGACGCTATTTTAACGACGACGAACGGTTCTATAAGGGGTATCTGAAGCGGTTTGGCGGGGCGGGTGGGTTGGACACAGGCGGACACGGGGGATGGTGGATGAGGAGG